ACTGCGCGCGCAGTCCTTGCGGAGTTTTAAAAATCCGGAAGTGCACGACCTCGCGACAGGACACCTCAAAGGGCCAACGCGCAGGGGCGGGGACGGCCATGAGCGTTATATGTTGTGTCACCTATAGCACGTGCACCCTTTCGCCCACCTCGACACTTAAGGATGTGAGCAGCAGCTGTTTTCATGTTAGAATTAAACTAACGGCCCGTTTAAAGTGGATCACATGTGTCAGGTGTGAACACGCCCTAAAATTAATCTCTGGATTCTGTCTCTTGCAGGTTGCTTTTGTTGAACTAAAAGTCATTTCTCTGATATGAACCAGCATTATGAACACTTACTCTCCAGCGGAGGGCGTGGCCCGGTGACCAGAGAGTCTATGATCTGATTGGCCACAGAGCTGTCGAAGCCTGAGTTGGAGGAGTCTGGGTTGGGTTGGTTGCTTACGGTTGGTTAAAATAAATTGTTTAAAAAATCTCAAGATAAGAGACGTTTGTTTTTTCAACTGGAGGCGTTGGGCACTTTTTTGCTGCTCAAAACACGTTTGGTATGAACGTAGCATCAGTTGTTTGCTGTGTCTACGTAGCTGGTCAAAATATTTCCTCAACATGGCTGAGAAGACAAGCTCCTTTTTAATCATGATGAATATGTTCAGTGACAATGCGAGCCTGCTTTAATAAAGCTTAATCAGAACCAAATGAGACGTGGATCAGAACCCAGAGTTCTGTGAAAGGAGCATTTTAATTTGTTCATGACTCTTCAGTCAGCAGCGTTACTCATCATCTTCACCTCCAGAGTGAAACATCAGCTGTCACTATTCAAGAGTGATCAAGTTCTCACACCGTACTTCTCTTACAACCACTTTTCAGATTAAAACACAGAAACCCGAGCAGCCCATTGGCTCAGCTACAACCAGCTGGTGTTCACTGACCTGCCAAGGCTAGCTGCAGCCCRCTGATGTCGATGGACTGAGGCATGTTGCCGATGTCCATGCAGGACACCTGTCGGGGGGTTTTCTTGAAGAGTTCTCTGGGTGGGGCCAACATCAGCTGGGACAGGAAGAACTTCTCAGGCTGGGTGATGGGTGGCAGGAAGCCTGGACACAACAGACAGGAGGCATCAGTATGTCTGGACTTTTACTTTCTACAGGAACATGAGCAGAGCAAAGGTCAGAGGTCACAGAAGACAAAAATATGTTGAAAATCAGATTTCAATTATTTGTTACATCAAGATAATCTGGACGAACAAACTCTTCTGTGAGCCTTGTTGTAAAAAGGATGAATAATCACAGACACAGATGTTTAATTGGTTATCTGTGCGACTAAAGTTTTATTAAAACTAGTTTACATTTTCATTTTAAC